TCACTTCATAGAGCTGCGTATCTCCGTCTTCTGCCTCTCTTCTCACCTAACACATAGCAAAAAGCTTTTCCACTATATCCTGCAAGGAGAAACTGTGCCAGTACAGAAAACACCCTATCTCTCGTTCTAGAAGTCTCACGGAGGTCTGCAGAGCGTTTAGCAAGAAGCGAAAATAGTTATCCAAAACTCCTTCATTTCCAGTAGCATGTGAATGCAAAAGCCAAGAGAGTGGTCAAGTACTGTTTTCTCTCTGTTTCATTGCTAGCTACACTATACCTGTCTGGTGCGGCTTGGTTGTTCGCCGTTGGGAAGCTGCCTCTCTCTCTGTCTCCCGGAGGCGAAGGAGCGGCTACTTCGCGCACAGAGCTTGGTGCCAGTCGCAGGCAGCTCCGTAGAGCACCTTGTGCCAAAAGATGCCCGGGACCGACACTTAGCTTCGGAGAGCTCTGTATCTCCGTCTTCTTCCTCTCTTGTCGCCTAACAGTCAGCAAAATGCTTTTCCACTATATCTTGCAAGGAGAAACTGTGCCAGTACAGGAAACACCCCGTCTCTTGTTCTAGAAGTCTCACGGAGGTCTGCAGAGCGTTTAGCAAGAAGCAAAAATAGTTGTCCAAACTCCTTCTTTTCCAGTAGAATGTGAATGCAAAAGCCAAGAGAGTGGTCAAGTACTGTTTTCTCTCAGATTGAATGCTGCCCACACTATACTGGTCTGGTGCGGCTTGGTTGTTCGCCGTTGGGAAGCTGCCACTCTCTCTGTCTCCCGGAGGGGAAGAAGCAGCTTCTTCGCGCATACAGTATTTGGCCGGTCTCAGCGCGTTCCAGAGGGCGCTTTGTGCCGGACGATGCCCACGACTGGCGCTTAGTTTCGGAGAGCTCCGTATCTCCGTCTTCTGCTTCTCTTGACACCTAACACTTAGCAAAAAGCTTTTCCGCTATATCTTGCAAGGAGAAACGGTGCCAGTACAGAAAACCGCCCATACCCTGTTCTAAAATTGCTAGGACCTCTGCAGACGGATTGGCAAAAACCAAAAGATAAGTTCTCCCAAACTCCTGCTTTTCCAATAGCATGTGAGTAGAAAAGGCAGGAGAGTGGTAAGGTGCTGTTTTCTCTCAGTTGGAAAGCTACCCACACCACGGGTGTGTGGTGCGGCTTGCTTCTTCCCCTTTCAGCAGCATCCGCTCTCTCTGGCTCCCGGAGGCGAAGAAGCAGCTTCTTCGCGCATAGAGCATTTGTGCCAGTCGCAGGCAGCTCCGTAGAGCACCTTGTGCCAAAAGATGCCCGGGACCGACACTTAGCTTCGGAGAGCTCTGTATCTCCGTCCTTTTCCTCTCTTGTCGCCTAACAGTCAGCAAAATGCTTTTCCACTGTATCTTGCAAGGAGAAACTGTGCCAGTACAGAAAACACCCTATCTCTCGTTCTAGAAGTCTCACGGAGGTCTGCAGAGCGTTTAGCAAGAAGCAAAAATAGTTGTCCAAAACTCCTTCTTTTCCAGTAGCATGTGAATGCAAAAGCCAAGAGAGTGGTCAAGTACTGTTTTCTCTCTGTTTCAATGCTACCCACACTATACCTGTCTGGTGCGGCTTGGTTGTTCGACGTTGGGAAGCTGCCGCTCTCTCTGTCTCCCGGAGGGGAAGAAGCGGCTTCTTCGCGCATACACTATTTGGCCGGTCGCCGTGCCTTCCAGGGAGCGCCTTGTGCCGAAAGACGCCCGGGACCGGCACTTAGCTTCATGGAGCTGCGTATCTTCGTCTTCTGCTTCTCTTGTCACCTAAAACCTACTAAAAAGCATTACCACTATATCTTGCAAGCAGAAACGGTGCCAGTACAGAAAACACCCATATTTTGTTATGGAAGTTGCAAGGAGGTCTGCAGACTGTTTAGCAAAAAGCTGAAGATAATTGTCCAAAACGCCTTCTTTTCCAATAGAATGTGAATTGAAAAGGCATAAAGTGCTCAAGTACTGTTTTCTCTCAGATTGAATGTTACCCACACTATACTGGTCTGGTGCGGCTTGGTTGTTCACTGTTGGGAGGCTGCCACTCTCTCTCTGTCTCCCGGAGGGGAAGAAGCGGCTTCTTCGCGCATACAGTATTTGGCCGGTCGCAGCGCGTTCCAGAGGGCGCTTTGTGCCGGGCGATGCCCACGACTGGCACGTAGTTTCAGAGAGCTCCTTATCTCCGTCTTCTGCTTTTCTTGACACCTAACACTTAGCAAAAATCTTTTCCGCTATATCTTGCAAGGAGAAACTGTGCCAGTACAGAAAACCGCCCATACCCTGTTCTAAAATTGCTAGGACCTCTGCAGAAGGATTGGCAAAAACCAAAAGATAAGTTCTCCCAAACTCCTGCTTTTCCAATAGCATGTGAGTGGAAAAGGCAGGAGAGTGGTAAGGTGCTGTTTTCTCTCAGTTGGAAAGCTACCCACACCACGGGTGCGTGGTGAGGCTTACTTCTTCTCCTTTCAGCAGCATCCGATCTCTCTGGCTCCCGGAGGCGAAGAAGCGGCCTCTTCGCCCATAGAGCATTTGGCCGGTCGTAGTGCGTTCCAGCGAGCGACTTGTGCCAAAAGACGCCCTGGACGAGCACTTCACTTCATAGAGCTGCGTATCTCCGTCTTCTGCCTCTCTTCTCACCTAACACATAGCAAAAAGCTTTTCCACTATATCCTGCAAGGAGAAACTGTGCCAGTACAGAAAACACCCTGTCTCTCGTTCTAGAAGTCTCACGGAGGTCTGCAGAGCGTTTAGCAAGAAGCGAAAATAGTTATCCAAAACTCCTTCATTTCCAGTAGCATGTGAATGCAAAAGACAAGAGAGTGGTCAAGTACTGTTTTCTCTCTGTTTCATTGCTAGCTACACTATACCTGTCTGGTGCGGCTTGGTTGTTCGCCGTTGGGAAGCTGCCTCTCTCTCTGTCTCCCGGAGGCGAAGGAGCGGCTACTTCGCGCACAGAGCTTGGTGCCAGTCGCAGGCAGCTCCGTAGAGCACCTTGTGCCAAAAGATGCCCGGGACCGACACTTAGCTTCGGAGAGCTCTGTATCTCCGTCTTCTTCCTCTCTTGTCGCCTAACAGTCAGCAAAATGCTTTTCCACTATATCTTGCAAGGAGAAACTGTGCCAGTACAGGAAACACCCCGTCTCTTGTTCTAGAAGTCTCACGGAGGTCTGCAGAGCGTTTAGCAAGAAGCAAAAATAGTTGTCCAAACTCCTTCTTTTCCAGTAGAATGTGAATGCAAAAGCCAAGAGAGTGGTCAAGTACTGTTTTCTCTCAGATTGAATGCTGCCCACACTATACTGGTCTGGTGCGGCTTGGTTGTTCGCCGTTGGGAAGCTGCCACTCTCTCTGTCTCCCGGAGGGGAAGAAGCAGCTTCTTCGCGCATACAGTATTTGGCCGGTCTCAGCGCGTTCCAGAGGGCGCTTTGTGCCGGACGATGCCCACGACTGGCGCTTAGTTTCGGAGAGCTCCGTATCTCCGTCTTCTGCTTCTCTTGACACCTAACACTTAGCAAAAATCTTTTCCGCTATATCTTGCAAGGAGAAACGGTGC